ATTCGCAAATGATAGCCTTACAGTTTTGTAAACATCCAGCCAATTTGTCCCTACAAATCTGTGAATTTCAGCAAGCCTCATAATGCAGCATGATAAGTTCTGATTGTGAAATTCCAGCCGCACAAATAATGATGGAAGCGATCAATTGCTTTAACAATGCCTAATAGCTCTCTCCTGGTGCTCAGTAGTTTCTGGCTGAAGTACTTAGAGTTTGACTATAGTAAGCGATCATTACTTTATCAAGAATCATCTTATGTCTGCAATGCATTTCTTCTGGACAGAAAAAGCCCCCATTAATCCTCAAATCACCCACACCTCATTTTTCTTTCATTTACATCCACTGTGACTTTCTTTGCTTCACTCTTTCTGACTTACAGTGCTCTTTCTGATACAGAACACTCATATGGTGACCATATTTCTAGAGCCCAAATTTGACTTCATGTTCTGACAAGTTATACTTTTAATTTGTGAATTTATTTTTAGAAAGCCTCAAAAATTACAAAATCAAATTTTATGAGTTATACATTTGACCATCACCTTTTATTGACAAGAACATAGGTACATGAGAATAAGTATAAAATTCTGCCAAAAAATTACAGAGGGATTGATGCAATTTTTGTCTTGTCATTTTCATCATTCCTGTTGAAGCAGATGGCAGGGTGTTCCACTTTTGTGCTCATTTGTAGAATTCAATTTATAAATTGAGAATTTGTCTTTATTTTTTCCAAGCGTGTCTTGGAAAGTTTGAGTAATTCATTTGGATTATTGAGTGAGATTTTGTATCAATTTCTTTAGTAATCCCCAAAAGTTGTTAGTAAAAATGATCTGATAAATCAGTCATGCCAGGTGGTATGAAATATTGGAATAGTAATATATTTTTTCATGAAAATCTTCATAGAGGATTCTGTTTTCTTCTGCTTTGATTTGGTAAGCAAATATTTAAGTAATAAGTTAAGAATTTTGTTTTTAAAAGTCTCCATAACAACAGAATATAAAATATCCTAGAAATTATTCCATGCCTTCTTCAGGTCATCCTTTTCACAGCCTTTTAACAAATTTTTGTTTGTTGGCTTGTTTCAAATAAAGCAAAACTGTTAAAGTCTTTTCAATATATGCCTCTACAGATAGGTAATTCAATTCCCATCCTTACTAGTTTCACCAGATCTACATCACAATGAATATTTAACATTATTAGCAATTGTATTCTAAAAATTATTTCAGAGTGAAACCATTCATATTTTTATCTTTCTCCTCAATTCTGATTAAAATGCAAAGATTCACATGGAGAAATATTCTGTCCCTCCATTTTGGAAAAAGTGTCATGGAAAATTGCAATGGCATTGTTTTGATTTAATGTCATTGGAAAATGTCTTGACAATGGAACTTTTTCAACTGATAAAAACTAAGCATGTGATGGTCAAAACATTATTAGTATTCTTCTGAGAACAGGCATCTGTATCAGAAATCTTATGTTTGAATAGGACCAAATTTGTCTTTGATAACATCGCATGATTATTTCAGTGTCTTCACTCATATTATAGAAATGTAACAAATTTTGAATAATTTTACAATAACAACTTCTACATCAATTGAAAAAATATGAATTATTAATACAATTGTTGCAAATCTGTACCATGCAACTGATCCCTACCAAGATTCTGATATTGCCATTATTGGAAAAGACTCCCAAAGCTAGCATTAGAAATACTGGATGAAAAAAAAAAAAAGAAATATTGGATGACACACTGACAAGATAATCCGCAAGCCTGCTGAGGCTTAGATGAGAGGAAAGATGGTCACTTAATTGGGCATGTTAGTCACCTGGAGAGATGTCACCTTCAAGAATTTTTAATTTCCGTGTTTTCATTAAAAAATCTTATTATTTGTACATCATAAACTATGTCAGCTTATTCAGAAAATATTTTTATTAGTAGTATATACTGGAGAAGTAGCAGAGGATAGCAGTTGAGAACACAGAATCTGGAATGAAATTGGTGGGGTTCAAATCCCAGTTCAGCCAGTTACTAGTAAGGAGATATTGGCCAAGTTACTTAACTGTGCTCAGCATCTCAGTTTTCTTATCAAGGATGATATATAACAATACTGTCTTTAAAAGGCTATTATGAGGTTTGAACAAATTAATATTTGTGTAGTGCCTATCAGGTAGGCAAGCACCTTTTTTTTTTTTTTTTGAGACAGAGTGTCGCTCTTGTTGCCTCGGCTGGAGTGCAATGGTGCGATCTCAGCTAACTGCAGCCTCCCTGGGTTCAAGTGATTCTCCTGCCTCAGCCTCCCGAGTAGCTAGGATTACAAGTGACCGCCACTACACCTGGCTAACTTTTGTATTTTTAGTAGAGATGGGGCTTCGCCATGTTGGCCAGTTGGTCTCAAACTCCTGGCCTCAGGTGATCCACCCACCTCAGCCTCCCAGAGTGCTGGGATTACAGGTGTGAGCCACTGCGCCCAGCTCAGACTTTTTAAAACAGAAACCTTAGGAAGAAATACATGCCGCAAGCATCATTTTAACATTGTTCAAAATACATTTGTGGCTAGACAAATATATTATGATTCTAAGATCTAATGTTACACACAATAGTATTATGGTTTTGCTGTGCTCCTGAAACAAGGATGTTTTTCGCTGTTAATGTTTTTATTTGTGCTGTCGAAAATTTGGATTTAAATAATATGAAAATTAGCCTGGATGTACAATCCAAATATCTGAAATTATGATTGTACCTTGTGATATGAAAAGCTGTGGTTGCTCTTAATGGTTGTTCCTAAATTCCATTTCTGCCGAATTACATTTCCAGCAAAACTAAAGAACATTCTCATCTTTGATTGACTATTTGAAGTTGCACAGCCCCATAGAGGATTCGTTTGTAGGCTTGAAGAAAATAAGCACTGGAACAGATAAATGCAAAGAAGCTGCAGCTTGCATCAATAAGCACAAAGATGACAACTTCAGAAAGCATCTGGGGGCTTTCCAGCTGGGGTATGTTTGGTGAGCACAGCTTCCTAGATGTCCCCATGTCCTCATACAGGAGGTGCCTTTAGGTCAGTGGCCTCAGTCTCCTGTCTCTTCAAGGTTAAATCCTGCCAGATCACAGGAAGCAACTTGCAACAGAAGCTACCCTTAAACTTCAGCATTGCTCCCACATGTTGCAAAGCCATGTCATCTGGATCTAACATCTGGTTATGGGAACTACTTCTTACCAGGCAATCTGGGCTATCACCTTCCATTTTTCAGGTTATATCAGGGGATGGCAAACGACAGCCCACAATTAAAATACAGCCTAGTGCATGGTTTGTTGTTGTTTTTCTCCCCAAGCCCACAAATTAAGAAAGGTTATAACATTTTTAAATAATTGGAAAATAATCAAAACAAGAAAATAGTTTTGTGACAGGTGAAAAATTATCTGCTATTCACATTTCAGTATCCATTTGTTGTTTTATTTGAACACCGATGTGGCAGACAGAATTCTAAGGTAGCCCCAATATTCCTATGGCTTGGTATAGACACTCTGTATAATCTCTCCTCCACTCAAGTGTGGGTGGGACTGAGAATATGATGGGGTGTCGCTCCTGTGATTATGTTACTTTATATAGCAAAGGTGACGATATTTTGCAGATAGAATTAAAGTTCATAACCAGTTGACTTTGAGTAACCAAAGAAAGATAATTCTGAGTGGGCCTGACCTAATCAGGGGAGCCCAGAAAAGATGGGCTGGGCCCTGTCTGAGCCTCCTGCTGAGGCATGCTCTCCTGCGGGTTTTAAAGAAACAAGCTATCACAAGTTATCCAGCTGCAAGGAAATAACTTCTGCAGTAAGCCCTGGAGTTTGGAAGAGGATCACAAACATCAGATGAGACTGCAGCCCTTACTGACCGACTGCAGCCGTGAGAGACCCTGAGTAGAGGACTCAGCTAAGTTGACTCCTGGCCATGGAAACTGTGAGATAAGTGGATGTTGTTTTAAGCCACTAAGTTTGTGGTAACTTACTATTCAGCAATAAAATAAATAAAACAGCCATGCTCATTTGTTTAAGTGCTGTCTACAGCTACTGTGGGACTACAGTAGTGGAGCTGCTTAGTTGTGAAACATACTCAACATAGCCCACAAAATGTAAAATATTTACCAAAAAAATTGTAAACACCTAGGTTATATAATTACAATGTAGAATCACACATACTCAACCATCCTGCATCTGTATAATAAGAATGAGCCTGTGGTTACACACAATTGGACACACAATTGGTTACACAAAAAGGCTGAAGAAATAAGATTTCTTGTGATAAGCAAAGCTTTTCTTACTGATGTAGGCACACAAACCTACCTGCAGATTGTGATAGCTCCTCAAGGAGACATATTTCATTAGTCTCATGAAAAGACTCCTTTTCTAGTACCTGTACTCATTTTGCAACAAATCAGACTTTAAGTAATTCTGTACTTCTTTTTTTTCTTTTTTCTTTTTTTCTTTTTTTTTTGAGACGGAGTCTCACTCTGTCGCCCAAGCTGGAGTGCATTGGCGTGATCTCATCTCACTGCAACCTCCACCTCCCGGGCTCAAGTGATACTCATGCCTCAGCCTCCCAAGTAGCTGGGACTACAGGCATGTACCACCACGCCTGGTTAATTTTTTTTTTTTTTTTTTGAGATGGAGTCTTGCTCTGTTGCCCAGGCTGGAGTGCAGTGGCGTGATCTCGGCTCACTGCAAGCTCCGCCTTCTGGGTTCATGCCATTCTCCTGCCTCAACCTCCCGAGTAGCTGGGACTACAGGCACCCGCCACCACGCCTGGCTAATTTTTTGTATTTTTAGTAGAGACAGGGTTTCACCGTGTTAGCCACGGTGGTCTCGATATCCTGACCTCGTGATCCGCCCACCTCAGCCTCCCAAAGTGTTGGGATTACAGGCGTGAGCCACCATGCCTAGCCGTAATTTTGCACTTCAAACACCTTTAAAATACAAATAAAATACGCTTGATGACACAAGAAACACTCACTATTGTTATCACCCTACATTTAATCACCCTTGCTTGGCAGCAGCAGTTCCATGGGCTTTTCCGTAGATGCTGTTGGTGAGTTCATCTAGGGGTGCAGAGCACGCACACACAGCCACAGACAGACACAGTTGCAGCAGTGTGGCATGGTGTCCCAGGTCACCACACTGTTCATTCATCCTGTGACCTCCCTTACACATGATGGTCCGATCGACGCATTTGCTCCAAATATATTATGAAGTGGCTACTTTCTGCCAGCTGGGATTCAGTAGTAAACAGGACAAATGTGGTCCCGACAAGCTTACCATCTAGTAGGAAGACATGCATTCTGCAAGAAATTAGAAGTAAAGGTAGTGAGTAAGTACAGTGCTATAGGACCATAGATCCAGGGGCCTAACTTAATGCGTGCCCTGGATGTCTTCTCTAAGGAAGTGCTGCCTAAGCTGTGACCTAAGCATCTACAAAAATCCTAAGCAGACCTGTTTCAAACCCAGTGGAAACCTTGGAGGCTTGGTTATTCATTAGAACCATCTGAGAGAGCCTGTTTAAAATCCTGACATCCAGGCTGTAAAGCAGATCAATTAAAGTAGAATCTTAGGGCAGAAAGCAGGCAACAGTACACACATTTTTAAGCTTCCTAGGTGATTCTAGTGAGCACCCCAAAACTATTACTTCCTCCTTCCCTCCTTTGATGATGAAGGAGTGTTCCCCTGCCGAGCTAGAACAAATCCTTCCAAAGTGTTCTCAGTACTCCATACCCTCCTGTCTTCTCAGGAAATCTAGTGATGATCTCTTGTCTTCTTTCTTCAACTTCTCCTTCCTATTAGCACTTAATCATTTTCTAGTCTCACTTACATTTTTTAAAAAGTTCCCCTGATCCCACCCCACCCACTTCAGATACCTCCCTCTCTTCTCTTCTTTACGGTGAAATATCCTCGAAGAATGGTCCACACGGGTGCTCTATTCCCACCCACTCTTCAACAAACAGGACCTGGTAAGGTGAAACAGCTCCTGCTAAGGTTATGGGAAACCTCCTTGTCATTAAAGACAATGCATCCGGCTGGGCTTGGTGGCTCACGCCTGTAATCCCAGCACTTTGGGAGGCTGAGGCGGGTGGATTACGAGGTCAGGAGTTCGAGACCAGTCTGGACAACACGGTGAAACCCCATCTCTACTAAAAATACAAAAATTAGCCGGGCGTAGTGTAGGGTGCCTGTAATCCCAGCTACTCAGGAGGCTGAGGCAGAAGAATTGCTTGAACCTGGGAGGCGGGTTGCAGGGAGCTGAGATCACACCACTGCACTCCAGCCTGGGCGACAGAGCAAGAGTCTGTCTCGAGGGAGGGGAAAAAGGCAATGCATACTTTTCAGTCCTCATCCTACAAGACCTCTCAGCAGCATTTGCCATAAATGGGCAGCCCACCCTAATTCTTGAAACAGACTCTCCCCTTTGTATTTCCCAGGCCTCAGTCTACTTCTCCTTTTCTCACCCTGCTCTCTTCTTTCCATAGATGATTGCCTCTCCCCGAGAGGCAGCAAGAATCATCCACGTACTGCCAAATTTTCTAGACAAGTGTGTATCAAATTTTGGTTTCTACAGAGTCTGGAAATTCAGATTCCAGAACCTCACTCCAGACCTACTGAATTAGAATCTCTGAGTTGGACGGAGGAATCTGAATCTTTTATAGAGTCCTGGAGATGAGGCTTATGCACCACATGTTTGAGATGCGCCATTGCAGACCCATCTATCCAACTGCCTAGGGGATAGTTCTACCTGGATATTTCACAGGTACTGTAAATGCACCATCTGTGTGATGGACATTCTTAGTGCTCACAAACATCCGTCTGTCCTCCTTCCTGGACACAGAGAATAACACCACAAGCCCTCTTGTAGTTACGCAAAGTCACGTGATAGCCCTGCACAATGGACTGTGAACAAGAGAGCTATACGTCCCTTCCATGCAGAGGCTGTGAATGCCAAGGATCTCACAGCTCCTGGCAATCCAGAAGCCCTGGTGAGGGTAACAGAACCACAAGATGAAAGTGAGTGGATTTCTTTCACTGCTTGGAAGGTTGCTGCAAACGCATAACAGACATCGTGTGCACAAGAATTAAGAACTGAATCTTTGTGGGGTTAAGTCCCTGAGATTTGGGGATGAATGTATTATGGTACCAGGATGTAGCTCATCCAAAATAGAAATTCATCCTCTCTCTGGCTCCCTCCAACATACTCCACTTTCTAGTGTTCTCTCTCTACTCAATAGATGAGCCAGAAGCTTCATGTTAGAAATGAGTGGAGGTTCTTATGGATTCTTCATGTTTTCTTAGAAAGGAACAGTTATTCACTCCACACTCCAGGAAGGAGAAATGTGGGAGCATTCTTCTCCCTTTCTTTCCATTGTCACTACCCTCTCTCTCTCTTTAGGGAAGAATGAGTTTCTTATCTTATTAGTGAGATTCATTGAACTACCTTTACTGCCACTTGTCTTACATGTCCTGACATGATACTTTAATCCTCACCTAGTTCTTGGCATCTGAGCTCAACTAACATAGAATTAAGAGGGAAGGAAATAAGAGGTTAATAACATCCCTAAATCCACACTATAAAAGACAGAGATTACAGCTATATTGTTTTCTACTGTATTCCTAGCACATGGCATATGGAAAACATAAGTATATGTTGTTGACTTGCTGAGATACTGGAATTTCCATGATAGTTCAACTGTTACAGAGAAAAGAGTACAGAATATTTGGAAGCAAGACTATCATGTAAATCTGGGTTAGAGAGGGATGGTTCTGTCTTTACCACCCAGACTTCTCCATGCCCATCAAATACTTAAGTTTTCAAGGATGAGAGAAGTAAAATATGGCTCACAATATTCCTTCCTCTTCCCCATCTCCTTTTATTTTATATGGTTGGGGTGGTAAAGGGCACAGTCTGCTCATGCCTCTGCCTTATGTCAGTCTAAATGTTCATATTTCCATGTTTGTGAAGTTTTCTGAATCTTATTACATGGTGCATTATTCTATTCTAGAATCCCTCTGTTCTTACCCTTTACAATTTTAAATTAAACTAAAAGCTGACAATGTGGCATTTCTCTCCTTGTTTTAAATTCCCTTCATTCTGGTTTTGTAAGGTCTTGTAACAATAGTTACATATTTGCTGATTTCAATTAGTTATTCAAATTATTTCACAAGGGCCCGCAAGATGCCAGGCGTAGGGCTAGGTGGAGGAGACAAAATGGTGAACAAAACAAATCCATTGCCTGCCCTGAAGGAATTTACAGTCTAGTAGGGGCAGGAGACAGGCTAATTAATTGATTCCACAAATGAAAACAAAATTACAAGTAGAGATAAGAGCTTTGGAGAAAAAAAAAACATGATTGTATGACAGCATTTTAACAAAGTCATTTGACAAGAGACTGGAAACCAGTAGGAAATGCTTCCTGAGGCAGATAGAAAGGAGAAAGGAGGTATGAACGGGGCATCTCCAAGGACTAAGGAAGGAGAATGGCGCTGAAGGAAGGTTAGTGCCTGAAGGCCCGAGAGGCAGGAGAGTGGTTCAGGGAAGGCTCAGGGGCACTGGGGCGGGGATACGACCAGACATGTATTTTGGAAGGAATTCCTGGACTTCAGTATGAAGAATAGATGGCAGGGAGCCGTGGCTAGTGAATGTGGGGAGGCCAAGTGAGGAGGCTAATACATCTCTCCAGGCAAAGGTGATGAAAAACTGGTCTAAGGTGTGGCAGTGGAGAAAAAGAGAAACAATCAATTTTTAAAAATTGGAAGGTAAAATAATAGTTAACCCTCCTGTAACACTCACCATGTGCCTCTACTGGGGCAGCCACCAGCCACATGTGACTATTAGGCATATGCATTAAGACTTGTGCAAATTGAGGCACGTTTTGAGTGTGAAATGCACACCAGATTCCAAAAACTCGGCACAAAACAAGAACCTAAAATATCTCATTAATAACTTTTTTTTTTCTGAGATGGAGTCTTGGTCTGTTGCTCAGGCTGGAGTGCAGTGGCAGGAGCTCTGCACACTGCAACCTCCACCTCTGGGGTTCAAGCAATTCTCCTGCCTCAGCCTCCCAAGTAGCTGGCTAATTGGCCACCAACACACCTGGCTGATTTTTGTATTTTTAGTAGACACGGGGTTTCAACATGTTGGCCAGGCTAGTTTCAGACTCCTGGCCTCAAGTGATCTTCCCGCCTCAGCCTCCCAAAGTGCTGGGATTACAGGGGTGAGCCACTGTGCCTGGCTTCATTAATAACTTTATATTAATTATGCATCATCGATATGATAATATTTCATATATACAGGCATACCTCAGAGATATTGCAGGTTTGGTTCCAGACCACCACAATAAAGTGAATATCGCAATAAGGCAAGTCACATAAATGTTTTGGTTTCCCAGTGCCTATAAACATTATTTACATTACAGTAGTCTAGTGTAAAACAGTGGTAGTCTATACCTTGCCACTGCTTTATCAACTGTCATCTATTAAGTGTGCAATAGCATTATGTTTTTTAAAAAACAATGTACATACCTTAATGTAAAAAATACTTGGCCGGGCGTGGTGGCTCATGCCTGTAATCCCAGCACTTTGGGAGGCTGAGGCGGGCGGATCACAAGGGCAGGAGATCGAGACCACGGTGAAACCCCATCTCTACTAAAAATACAAAAAATTAGCCGGGCGCCGTGGCGGGCACCTGTAGTACCAGCTACTCAGGAGGCTGAGGCAGGAGAATGGCAGCAACCTGGGAGGCTGAGCTTGCAGTGAGCCGAGATCGTGCCACTGCACTCCAGCCTGGGTGACAGAGCGAGACTCCACCTCAAAAAAAAAAGAAAAACAAAAACAAACAAAAAAAAGCTTTAGGCTGGGCATAGTGGCTCCCACTTGTAATCCAAGCACTTTGGGAGGCCGAAGCAGGCGGATTACTTAAGGTCAGGAGTTCGAAAAAGTTAGCCAGGCCTGGTGTCAGGCGCCTGTAATCCCAGCTACTTGGGAGGCTGAGGCAGGAGGATTGCTTGAACCCAGGGGGCGGATGTTGCAGTGAGCCGAAATCGCGCCACTGCACTCCAACCTGGATGACAGAGTGAAACTCTGTCTCAAAAAAAAAAAAAAGAAGTACATACCTTAATGTAAAAAATACTTCATTGCTAAAAAAAAAAACTAACAATCATCTGAACCTTCACCAAGTCATAAACTTTTGCTGGTAGAAGACCTTCTCTTGATGTTGATGGCTGCTGACTGATCAGGGTGGTGGTTGCTAAAGGTTGAGGTGGCTGTGGCAATTTCTTGAATTAAGATAACAATGAGGCCGGAAGTGGTGGCTCACACCTGTGATCCTAGCACCTTCGTAGGCTGAGCGGGTGGATCACAAGGTCAGGAGTTCCAGACCAGCCTGGCCAACAAGGTGAAACCCCGTCTCTACTAAAAATACAAAAAATAGCTGGCCTTGGAGGTGGGCACCTGTAATTCCAGCTACTCAGGAGGCTGAGGCAGGAGAATCATTTGAACCCAAGAGGTGGAGGTTGCAAGTGAGCCGAGATAATGCCATTGCACTCCAGCCTGGGTGACAGGGCAAGACTCTGTCTCAAAAAAAAAAAGACAACAATGAAGTTTGCTGCATCAACTGACTGTGTTTTCACACAAGATTTCTCTGTGGCATGCGATGCTGTTTGATAGCTTTTTACTCGCAGTGGAACTTCTTCCAAATTTGTAGTCATTTTTCTCAAACCCTACCACTGCGCTATCAACTAAGTTTATGGAATATCCTAAATCCTTTGCTGTCATTTCAACAATGTTCACAGCATCTTCATCAGGAGTAGATTTCATTTCAAGAAGCCGCTACCTTTGCTCATCTATAAGAAGCAACTCCTAATCTGTTCAAGTTTGAGCATGAGATTACAGCAATTCAGTACCATCTTCGGGCTCCACTTCTAATTCTAGTTCTCTTGCTATTTCCACCACATCTGCAGTTACTTCCTCCACTAAAGTCTTGAACTCCTCAAAGTCATCCTTGAGGACTGGAATTAACTTCTTCCAAACTTCTTTCAATGTTGATGTTTTGACCTCCTCCCATGATTCACAAGTGTTCTTAACGGCATCTATTATGGTAAACCATTTCCAGAAGGATTTCAATTTACTATGTCCAGAGCTATCAGA